AAATTTAAATAAATGTACATATATTTTTCAAATTTTGGACAATGATTGTGTAGCAATGATGAAAGGGGTAATGGTTGAAAAACCACTGGTATATACACTCAGAAAAATCTTCTAAATTATACCCAGCCTGAGTGCTTAACGTAACAGATTGCTTTTCTACCTGATTATAAATAAATTAATAATAAAGACGAAAACTCTTCGGCAATTAAGAAGTGTAAACTCAGAAGATAAAATTTCAATCACTTTTATTTAGCATAATTATTACCTTATTTTTACTCATGTATTTATCTCCCCCCTTTTTTAACTAATCGATCGAACGAAAATTGGAAGGGCAAAAATTAATAACAATAAAATAATTTAATATTTAATTTCCGAAGGAGGCGGTTATAGTAAAAATAAAACAAATAGAAAATATTCATAGATAAACTACTGGTTACTATTGCAATATTATTTATTTAGAAGAAACCTACAGTCCAGTAAGAATACCTAGTAATAAATAACTAGCAGTTACTAAGTAATGCCTAGGAATAAGTAACTAGTAATTACTAAGCAATAAGTAATATTCATAGGTAATATGATAAGATGTGTTCATTTCTACTTCTTGTACTTTGCGTTCTAGCTTTTAAGTACGGCTTTACGGTATTACTTGTATTATCTAGTATAAGTCGTACAGTCTTAGTATACGTTGTTGTTCTTATTATTGTTCTTATTGTTTTGTTTATGTCTCAAATCATTTAAAGTTCACCATTCGGTCTGTCTGCAATCATGAACATTAGTTTTCTTGAATCTTCTTCATTGTTATTGCTTCATCCATCAGAGCTCATGCATCCAAAATCCACTAGCAAATATATTACTGAGACAAGAGTAAACACAAGGTACATGAATCCGTTTTTAAAATTTGGAAACGTACTTACTTTCTGAAATTAATGACTACTTAAAAAGTTTCCGAAGCTTGTGTTAAAGGGAAAAAATAATGGGAAAGCTAGAGGGGCAGTCCGCCCCGTGCTGCGCAATTTTAGAGGCGGCATTTTTTGGAAAAACTTTATTTTGAAGATTAATAATCTTCGAGGCAGCTGACAAATATCGAGATTCTGTACTGCCATACGAAATTAAATTGAGAAGAAAAATAGTTTTGCTCTAGATAATGTATTCAAAGGAATCACTACGAGACTTCAGCAGCTGCATCTTTTGTTATATCTTTCTTATTCTTCGAAATTTTTAAATGCAAATTACGAATATCAACTAAATTACAATCGCGGTGACATTCCTAAAGAATAATTCCTCGTTTAGAAAAAAATACTTCAGAGTTTTAGTTCCATTACTGCTAGAGAAATCGAAACAGGAAAGTGAAAGGGCAGTTCCTTCAAACTTTTGCATTTTGTTCTAAAAACGCAATTCCCAGAACAAAGTTCAAATATTATAATTACCACTAAGAACTTTCCTCTCAATTGTTGTAAGTGTTGCTAGTCGCGAGAAGCTTTTCCTAAATAAAAATAATTTAAGAAGCGTTTAAAACTACAAATATATATTCTACATTTAAGAAATCTTTCTCTGTTATCTTACATTAACAGCAAGAACAATCCAGTAGGCATTTACAGTGTCATCGATGGGTTTGCTATCAATTTATAATATAACTTTAAAAATGTTCGAATTAATGTTTTTCTTCAGAAATAAAAGTAGAGTTTAAATTTATTTCCCTACATGTCGGTATGGCATTTTTTTTTTTTTTTTTTTAGTTATTTTTTTATATACAAAAGAGACGGAAAATTTCGAGGACTGCCTCGGTCGGCAAAATTTCTAGCTACGCCACTTTCTAGCTGCGCGGGAGTAAATATGGTATTAAAAATCGCTTGTTTGGTTATTAATACTTACGAAAATTACTAACTCTTAATATATAACAATTTTACACATGACATAGTTAAATATACTGGCATTTGGTATACTATATTTTTTTATTTATGTAGTTCAATAAAATATTTAGTAGTAATTTAAATATTTTTATAGAAAGTTAAGGCTTCTTTTAGTTTTAAAAGAATAGCTTATACATGCCGAATAATTAAGCTACGAAACACTGGTAGTTCGTTGCGTTGCGCTTTATTGATTGCATTTCGGAATGTTGTAGGCTAGCGATGTATTATGCGTATAAGTGATAACTACATTTAGGAAGTCTTACATGAAGATTGCGAGCTTTATAGGCAACAAGTAGTCTTTTTCTACCATTTTATCGATCGATGTCTTCAAAAAATTTTCAATGTCTTGTTACCAATTATTTGGTTCGGATGGTTTAACCAATGGATTTTAAGGTACTGATCGACTCAGTGTTTCCTCATCTCGTCCAAAAAGGAATTTGGCCCACCAGTGGCCGAGCAATGAAGTCGCTGAACAGTGGTAATTCGGTCCAGGGGTTAGAAAACCGGCTGAGCGTTTGCGTAGTTTTTTTGTAACGTGTATACGAGTCAGTTTCTCTTAGACAGTCCTCCCCGAGGGCATTCTTTCTCTTTGGCGGCCTTCTCCTTAGGCAATCGTCAGATAACCCTCGAGTGCTTTATCATAATCAAATAAACCCAACGAAATCGAGCAAAAAGGAATTCTTTATAAAATTTGGAAATATTTTAAAATTTTTGCTGTGGAAGGGGAATACAAATCATCTCACGAATTACTTTTAGAAAATATCGTCTCATCCCCCCTGATCTTTCATTAAAGAGGGGAAATATGGATGCCCCCCCCTTTTTTTTTTTTTTTTTTCCTTTCCTTAATCTGTTTCAGTGAATAAGAAGTCAGATACGAATAAAAATGCATTTTGGAAGAAAAAAAATTTCCTTTGAAACAGCCCATATGTTTGTGAAACAAACAAATTGTAACCTTTTTGTTGGGGGGAGGGGGTGGTGCCGCAGTATAGTGATAGTGATTGCATGATTAAGTATGTTAATACGTAAATTATCATAGAACTCTAATAATCAAAATTTTATAAAAAATATTTGATAATTATTGAAGTAATATACCATTTTTATTCCTATAATGATAATATTCTCAAGGAACAGTGTCACTTTCAGCTATAGCAGGAGCCGTTTGTTGCGATTATGTTTGCCCATGATTATTCTGATAATATTAAACGAATGATAATGTAAATGATAACAAAAACACCCTTCAGGACAAGAATGGTAATTAACGTATGTAATATAAATATATGTAGCCAGAATAACATAAATAGCTACTTCAACAGAATTTTAACAAGAAGAAAGTCGCTCCTAGTACATTGCTTGTCAGCATTAAGTTCATTTGTTAACCTGTTTTTAATGTTTATGGAATTATTTGCTGATGTTACACCACTAAGCTCAATACTCAGAGTGCGTTCCTTTACAGGTAATTCACCGGTTTCATGTTTACGTTCTTCAGAAATTTTATTACATGATGTGTTTGGATTTGTTTCAGAATGCTCTTGGCAGATATCTTCTGTCGAAAAGAGATCTGGTCTGACCGTTCTCGAAATCTATAAAGTTATTTAAAAACCTCTACCAAACAAAACAATGATTGTTTTATTGCCTAGTTTTAAATGGTTGCCTAAAATAAAAACCAAGCTACTGACTTAATCCTTTACTTGGTGCATTTTTCAATGATTTAGCAATTTTTAAAATTTATTTTGACCTTTTTGAAGAATTTACTTAGGATTGAAAAGTTCATTCTATACTATTTTGATAACATTAACCGAATGGTTAGTCAAGCGATGTATTTTCTGTATTACTTCGGCACTTCGATAACATTACCCGAATGATCACATTAAGCGGCGTCTGCTGTATATACATAGAGGACTTTCTATATAAACCACTTTTTTATGTCATGCAAATGAACCTACTTTATACGTTATAAATAAATATCAAGATAAATGCTAAGCAAAAGACAAACATTTAATACAATGGTAAGACCATACTGTAATGTTCCGATGTCGTATTTGTCTTTATTACGGTAGAACTGTGACAATTTACTACATGTAATAATGTAAGATTGATTTCATACAGAACAAAAGCTTCAAATGCATGCATATAAAGCCTTTGTATTCATTCTTTGTAAATGCGGTACTCTTATTTGCAATTAACTGAATTAAAATGGCATATTTTTCGAATTCTGTACCATGAATATCTCTGTTCCTTAATTTTTATTACATAATCAATAGCATTTCCTTAAAACTCATCTTAGCTGACCAATACTCGTCGTCCAGAATTTTTTTTTTTTTTTTTAATATAGAATTGACTTTCATTTCGAAATAGCTGTTCTTGCAATTTTTTAACTAAGTGCATTTAATAGTATTTTTAAATTAAGCGAAATTCAACTTTAGTTTTACAGAAAAATTCTGCATTTTGATGGAGGCCAGCAAGGGTCCCCTTCTTCAAGGAACAATAACGTCCAGATATAAATGTAAATATTATAGGGAAAACATCTATTCCTCCTGGTTTTTTTTTTGGGGGGGGGAGAAAAATATTCTATTAAAATGTTATTGAAAAACGTAATATATAAAATTCATGAAAGATACACAAGCCAGTATTAATACAAATCTATCCAGAGCAACTGACATAGGCCTCTTGTTTTCAAGAAGCAAAATATTGTATATTGTATTTGTTGAAGAAAAAGGAATTAAGTCACTTCGTCTCGAAATTGACAGAATTTATATACAATATATCCATATTTTAAGGTTTCTTCCCTCCTTTGATAAATTTTATAAATTCTCCAGAAATGTACAGATATTTTTTTTAATTAAAATAAAATCGTCAGCAATTTAATTCTGATTCCAAACTTAGGTGCTTTCTGTTGTATATATTATTTGCAGTTATCATCGGTTAACAATTATTAAAAATCGAAGCATAAAACTCAAATTATCATACACTTTAAAAATTTTCAGATGCAGGTAATATATTTCTATACTATTTGAAAATTCTTCTCCCAGATAATATAACAATAATTAATCAATAAAAATTAACCAAAAAATAATTAAGTAAATAACGTACCTGTTGTATTGGTAGCTTTCACGAGCCAATGGAGAAAACATTTCCTCCAAAACACCAACCACCGGCCAATTACTCTGAGTAATTAGTAATAATGACTACCCTGGAGCTTCAATTATTATTAAAAGGACCCCCAACCGCGCGTAGAATTTACGGTAAACCACAGCCGATCCCGGGTCCGGCAGGTTTAGTACAGTGGCAAGTTACACAGTTGCTCACGGGTCGCAGTAGCCGCAGCCCACCATGGCTTCCTATTGGTAGTGCCGTTGCTTCTACACCCCGCCCGATCAGGAGCAGGGAGCCAATGGGGAATCAGCTTCTGCTCACAGCTCCCAGAAGCCGTTTCGAAGCGCTACTGACCACGCCCCCTTACAGTTATGCAGAAAAGAACCACTGAGGGCGAGTTTGGATGCTTATTATACTTATTCCCCCCGAACCCCTGATCCCACCCATGAGGGATTATAGCGGGGTGGGGTTTTATGGTGAACCGCAAGAGAGTTGGAATTGTTTTTAGTTCTAGTTTTATTTATCATTTTTTACTTTTTATTGTTGTTGTTATTCTTGTAGGCGGTTTACCATATCCCGTGATTATTGCGTTTTGTTTTGATTGCTGCTGCGGCAGGTGCGTTTTTAGCGCAAAACACCTGTCGGGGTTTTTCGTTGGTTGAATTGTGTTGGTTGCAGCGGGTCGCGAACCGAAATTTAATTGATTGTTCCGTGTGTGTGGTAATCAGTGCGAATAGCGTGAGGATTTGAATGATTTGATTTCGACTTTTTTCTTAGCTTGGACCGAGAAGGGCACCTCTTTTCTTTCAAAGCGAATAATGAAACTGGATTTTTCTCTGGCGAAATAGCACAAAGCTTGAAGAATACTGTGCAAATTTCATGCTTGGATGCTTTGTTAAAATATCTGGTACAGGTACATATCTGGAATTTAATATCTGTCAGTAAATAATGAAGAATCTGTACGTACAGTGGCTCACATTTGCTTTCGGACACTTGTGTTTTTCAGTTTTATTTACAAATATCAGTTACTAAATGCTGTCGAAATGAATTTATTTTTCTTTCCCATATACTACTGATACTCTCTTTTAAAGTCTCTTTATTTGGGGAAAAAAAAAAAAAAAAAAAAAAAAAAAAAAAAAAGTTATTAAATACTTTTTTTAATTATTCACTATATTTTTAATATTGGACTTTGAGTATTTCGTTCAATAGCCTTTAGCTAAAATAACACTTTTCATCCACTCTGGCGCAGGTTCAGCTAATTTTTTTATTTTTATTTATTTATTTATTTATTTGTTTGGTATAAGGATGTTCTATTTGTTCCATTCCTACGTAACAAATTGCATTTAAAGGAACTTTCCAAAATAATATACCCTGTTTCCTTAATCTTTCCCTCTAAATTTACAGATTTAAATAAGAATATTATGAATTCATTTTCATAGGATATAAATAGGCAGATTATAAAGGCAAATTTTTATCTCTCTAAATTTATAGGATTTAAATAGGAAGACTATGGAGGAATTTGGATAACTTTAGGCCAGTTGTGTAATAATTACAAGCGAATATTTAGGGCTGTATGTTTAGGATCGTTATTCTGATAGAGCTTGAATGCATTTTGCAGTCTGTGTTAGATAATAAAGAATTAGCATGTATGTACGTATGTAGTATATATGTACAGTAAAGTCTTGTGTCTTGGGAACTCGACTTCCGGCTTTTCGACAATCACTCCTTTAATAGCTAAGTGATTTCTGCGGATCAAGGAGAATATTATCTTTGAAATAGTGTGACAATTTAGTAATTAGATTGTAACAATTTCTAACATCGCCCATACGGGGCAAGCAGTATATAGTATTCTCGAGTATGCAAGACTCTCATTTAATTAACTTCTAATTTAAAAAGAGAAAGGGAAAAAAAAAAAACTTCTTCAAGGATAAGCAGCGGTTAGCCTGTCTGCTATTCACAACATTTTTTTCGTTTGCATCTGTGAAAACAGCTAAAATGAAAAGAACACTTACCCGCTGATATAACGATAATTGGAGGAGTTAAAGCAAAACGAATCAGAGTAATATTCATAAATTTTCAGGACTAGTTTCTAAGTATAGAATATTCTATATAGGAAATATTTCTTCAGCTGCAGATTTGAAAATGAGGAAAAAGAAGCCAGTGATAAGGGGATAAGAATGCAAGGAAGGAAGTCAAACTCCTCTGTGTAGTTCCGCTATGTTTACGGTAATGAACATGCTACCCTGTTTAACGGTAATAAAGAAGATTTAAATAAAATTCTCCCAATGATGAATTCCATTGATCCTGCCATTCAGTTCGCTTTTGAACTTGAAACTTCTCTTCCGTTGCTCGGCGTCTTGGTCACAAGCAACATATCCAACTTGAGAACTACTGTTTACCGTAAAACTTCATCTATTTGCCGTCCACCACACTTCAAATCACGTATGACATGACTGAAGAGAAATTCGTTTCATTTTATTCCTTCTTTTTCCGTATACTCCAAGTTTACTTCTCCAAATCGGCTCATGATCAGGATAAGAATGAGAAGAAGGAAGTCATGCTATCTAATAAAAAATAGAACAATTATGAAATAATTTCCTTGAAAGCTGAGGGTAAAGATGGATTTGAACTGGGATTGCTAACTAAACCTGAAAGATTTATATGAGTGTGAAGCGCCTCTAGAAAATCGAATTAGCTGATGGAAGATTTTTTTTCTGAATAATTATAGCTGCAGAAAAATGGAAATCTTGATCTTCCGAACAACAGTGTTGGGCAACAGAGGATTTATGTGCTTCTTTTTTTCTAAGACATGCCTTATGTTCCTTTGCGCGAAATTGTAAGGCTCTATTAGTTTGACCAATGTAAATTATAATTTATTCCTTGCCAGTGTGGTCTATAGATCACATTGCCAAAGAATCCTGTATATACGCTATGAGTTCATATCCTGAATGAGGTCCTTTAGTACGAAACTGATGATTTTTTTGACAGAAGAGAAAACGACACGATGTTGAATTTCTATAAATTGCCTACAGTTTTATTGCTAATCGATGGAAAGAAAAGAATGACAACGGAATTCTTATAAAATCCTAAATCGAGAGGGTGTTTTTTGATGTCTTGAGATGACAATTTTTTAACCACTCGGTCAATGATGTTAGATGAAAAACCTTTGTCAATAGCAACTGCTTTTAAGTAATTTAGTTCTTGACCAAAAGCCGATTGGAAAGAGCAGACTTGAAGTGTACTGAAAACGAAGGAATAAAAGAAAGCTAGCATATATTTAGTAAAAAAACATGACCTGAAATGTGGTAGAAGGTAAACAGTAGAAGCTGGATATGTCGCGTGTGACCAAGATGTCGATATAATCTTTTACCTTAGCTTAGGAGCTTCAAGGTTCTGCCTCCCGATTTGATGTGCAACCGTAGGAACAACAACTGCGGTAAAAGTAAAAATTCCAAGCAATAGCTTTCCATTTCTCGCAGAATTACAGTATTTGGAATTTCATTTTGGAGACAGCAATTTAGAAAATCTTATTCAAAGTTCAAAGCGACTTTCTAGTCTCGGTTTCGTCTTCCAAGCAGTAACAGAAAAAGAATTCTGAGGCATTTCTCTGTCAGTCAGGAACTGTCCCTTATTTATGTCATTTGCATCATAATTTCATTATCATTCGTATTTTCCATTCCAAACTGGCAATGGCGTAAGGAAGGCATAGCAAGAAAGTCTCTTTGTAATTTGATTGAATATTCTGTCTAGTGCAAATTATTTTCTTAATTTAGTTTCGTATTACTGTTCGTCATTTCATGATTCTTCTATTCACCAATGACCGAGCGGATAAAATGCCTGAACACTGGTAGTTCGATTAGGGGTCAAATTCCAAACAATGGGCTGCCTTATGTGGTTTACTTATGCAGCATTTGTGTGTAACGTTGTATTCACGCAGGCATAGAGTGAATAGGAGCTAATGCCCCTTTCGCAACGCGAATATGAACCAGTTCCCATTTTTTAAGTTCTTGGCGGAGTAAAAAAAATTTGAGTCCTCCACGAAGACACCTCGCTTCAAACTGCAGTAAATTTTGCTGTAATACAACGAATTCCAGTTAGTCTTTATGCTTCGATGATCCATACGACATGTATCATATGTAACATGTATCATATGAAACTCTGTAACATGTATCATATGAAAAATTTAGTCTCCAAAAATTTGCCGTCCGCTATGGACCGCCCTTAGAGTTCTTCCCACTGGTTCTTATATATTCCTCATGTATTTATTCGTCTCGTAAGTCAGCAGATTGCTGAGAATGAAAAGTGCTTCCCGCGGCAGGTATTCCAGTTTTAGAAACTTTCCAACCGAAGAGAAAACTGATGATGAAACTCGTCCTTAAAACAGGCTGCATTCATTCATGCATTTGACTGATTATACCAGGCAGGCAAATCATAAAAAGTGTCAGCCCCATTAGAGCCTTCTTTTAACGTTTTTAAGCTCCAGGGGACTTTTTCATTCTTACAAGCGCTAGTTTGAGCTTATTCCTGCATGTTGAGATCGTAACTCTCTCCTTACTTCTTTTATAGCCCAGGGCCGATTTTTCTTCTCTTGATGAAAGTGTTTTATAAAGCACCATTTGAAAATTCAGACCAGATTCATCACAGGTGTAAGATTGATTCATCACAGCTCAGTTCAATTGACGATGAATCGAGACACCTGATCTACACCGATGACAATGACTAACAGATATTATCCTATATTCCTCATTAACTAGATTTATTTTAACTTTAAATAATAGCAATCTAATTAGTTTCATTTTTCATAGTCATGAATTAGTTGTATAAATTTTGAAACTTATATATACGAAAAAGAAAAGCTGAGAACAGTGCTGTTGCACTAAAAATAAAGTTCTTGGTGTCCATAAAGTTCTATCACAAAACAGATCATGATATTTTATTTATTGAATCTACAGATGCACTTAGAGACTTTGCACTTCATTTCTGCTTTGACGGATTTTTCTCTTGTTACCAAAGATTTAAACTTTAGAAACGTTAAAAACTGTGCGCACCATTTTCGGGTATTCGTTTAGAGTCTTCCGTCTGTGTAGAATTAATGATTGACGGTGTTTAGCTTTCACATTATTAATGTTGCTTATTTTGCACTTTGAAATTTCAATACTATGCATTTCACAAC